GCCCTGAAGCTGCTGGTAGACATCGCGGTTGGAATGATCAAAGGTTTTTGACACCTGAGAGACACCGTAGCAACTCCTTTGCGTTTGGAAGCAGGGGGGCGGGGGTGGGGGGAGGACCAGGGAGGATGATTTAACTGCTCAACCACTAGATGTCGCCGAAAACGACAAATCCTACACAATGTGCCTTTAAGTACAAAACATATCAGATACTTTAAGACTTTTACTCAAGTAATATTTTTAGAGAAGACTTTAACTATTACCAAAGTATTTTTATGAAAAGATACTTGTCCTTTTACTCAAGTATCACTTTGAGGTACTTTATACAACACTGGGAAATTTCAAAAGCAAATGAAAGTGAAAAACAAGTGTTTACTGAGAAACTGATGGCGTCCATTGACAGCAATTATTGCTTTGCTGATCTATGATATCTAAAATAATGAGCAAGAAAAGAAGACTATTATAATAATCACAAGAGCAAAAAAAATCTGATTAACACTTTACAACATGAAGCACCTTTGATAAACTTTTGGTTTGATTTAAGATTATTTTTACTCTAAGTGAAAAAAAGAAAGCATCCACTGTAAAAGACAATGTCAAGACAAAGACATGGCGTGGTGCAGTGTGCCTCAAACAAAAGTGAGGATGAGTGCTCCAGATAGGAGTTTTGATGGTGATGGTGAGGAAGAGGGCTTTTGGCATGAAAGAGGCCAGTGTGTGATCATGATGTCATTAGAAGTATAGAGTGAGACAGACCGGAGGAGGCTGCTGTACTGTGCTGCACCCAGGGGACGTCATTACCAACTGGAACTGAGCAGGGACCTGAGTACAGGTCAGACACACAGGAAGTGGGCTAACACACACGCACGAAAAGCGTGTGCTTCCCCACACGGACACACAGACATAATCTCTCTCAGGCAGGCATCCATCACATAAGAAATGGACAGTTCTGTCTGGCTTTCGACAGCGGACTCGTGCTTTTGTTGCTAAACCTGACAAATTCTTCAATATCTAAGTGGACACCTCTGTAGACAAATGTGCCTCATTAATGAGCGCACACAGATGGACGGAGCACACACACACACACACACGCATGTGGACCGAGAGCTCACGCTGTGCTAAGTTGCGGTGTGTGTACCGGTGTAGCCGTCTGCGCTTCATTACTGTTCACACACAGACAGTTGCAGTGTTTTTGTGTCAATGTTTAATGAGGGGCTGGGAGTCTGGGGACCCTACTGCTGTCAGGAGCTCCTGTAGTCTGGAGCTACCACCTGTTCCCATTCGCTCCCCGAAGGCCTAAACACACACACACACACACACACACACACACACACACACATTAAACCGTCCGCAAGACACACGCAGGCATGCAAACGAGAAAAGCGAGCGCACACAGGGAACATGTCGACACAGGCGTACACACACTTGACAAACTGCATACACTGATTTAGTCATCCTGTGGCACCACTGTCAGCGCCGGATACATGTAAACAGGTTATTGTGGTTGGCTGAGCCTGGCTGCCTGACAGGAGCTACAAAAACCAGGGGGAATATCAATAGATACATTTCATATTCCTCGTGAGCCGCGGCTGAGACGACAGCGTGAAAGCTGCTGCCAGCGAGAGTGATCCCTCTCTGCCTTTTCCTGACACTGCCTGCGCGTGATGGAGATCTGAAGCATCCCGACTGATCGGCTCCGAGTGCACGCACTGCGTCCCGTAATTATTCCTGACAGAACTTTTGAGACAAAAAAACAAAATTAAAAAACGGCTTTCAGCACTTGAAAGGGCTTACATGTGCATTTCAAAAAAACTAACTTTTATTTAAACAAAAAAAGAAAAAAAATCAATTATTGACTCATTAACAAGATTATAAAACAGTGATTTAGTTACATAAATAAATTGATATCGGTGTATCAAATCTTAATTTCATAAGCATGTATACATGGGTCATTGTAATAAATAAAAAGGGAGAGCAGAAGAGTCCTACACAAACAGAAACAAAAAAAAAAACAGCTAGAAAGACTCAGAGGAAATTGTTTCTGCAGAGAACAAGAGACACTGGACAACATTTTTTTTTTTGCCATCAAACACACGTGAGGAATTGCTTTGTTAAAGCATGAGTTACACAGCCATTCACTTACTAATTAAGGACACTAAAGCTGGGACCAAGGTTGGTTGTCTCTCACCTCTTCGAACGCGTTTGGTTGTTAGATAGATCTTCTGTTTGGTTACTTTAAAGCGTTAAGACAAGGCAAGAGAAAAAGGCTGCTTTTATCTTTAATCAACAAAACGCAGAAAAGGAAAAATGAAGGAAATAGAATTTAAAAAAAAGAAGAAGGCAATTATTGAGAGGACAGCTGAATGTTGCAGAGGACCGTGGAAATTTTGCTGCTTTTGCCACAACTGAGGAGACTCATTTTCGAAAATTTGGAAATATATTAAAGCATATTCTCTTTATGATGGTGAACTTACACCAAATGGGATATAGGTTTGCAAAAARGAGGCAGCTGAGAGAATTTTGAAATTTAAAAAAGGCTTTTTTTAAAAACCAGATTCTCCTTCAAGATGCTCTTGTATATCATATTATATTATCCCTAATAGCATTTCATTGTAAGCTATACAGTTTACATGCAAGTATCTTAAATTGTTTTTCTTCACCAATGATCAAAAAGTCTTCCTCCACCCCCTACTAAGCTATTTATTGTCCTCTTTGCCTCTGTCGGTGAGATTAAACCTGCATTTTTGACGAACCCAGAGTCTCGAACATGAAGACTTGCCTTGTGAGTCCAAAAAGTTGTCAACAAGGTCATTCTAGTCCTTCTGATATGTTGTTTATAACAAAAATAAGAAGAAAAAAAAGAGAAGAGAAGACAAAAAAGAGAAAGAGATGGAGAGCCAGAGAGAGCAAACTACAGCGGCTTCAAGTATTTCACATTACATAGAATACTCTGTATAAATTAGTTAACATATACTTTCAGATCCTCCATATTCAGACATATACTATGGCATATATACAGAGTACAATAAATGCTTGCTCATGTTGTGTTTTATTTTTCCTGGTATTTTGAGACTTTTTTTGTTGGTTGGTTGGTTGGTTTTGCGTTATTTATTTATTCTTTTTCCTGCGTAGAGAAATCCCTGAGAACGTTCTGGTTTCTGAATGTTCCACACAATGAACTCGAAGAGTGGAAAGTCCAATTTCAATGATTCACATGCACAGTGGGAAGTGACACTGGCCTGGTCTGAAAATACCACACAGTGATGGCTGTGAAGATGGGTGAGGGGACAACTCGGTTTCTGAGAGCCTATTTCTCAGGAGCGCGGTGGTGTGTGTGTGTGTGTGTGTGTGTGTGTGTGTGTGTGTGTGTGTGTGTGTG